GAAAAAAAAAAAAACATCCTGCAAGTGGAAAAGGTTGCCAAATCATGGCAGAATAAATTAAGTTCCAGCAAGACGGAACAATCTGTACTCTGCTGGTGTTGTTGGAGTTAGCCCCTTCACTAAAGAAAGTTTTAAACAAAAAAACTAATAAGGAAACTGGTCAACACTGATTCATTTAGATTGAAACCTAAAGATCATCCTAGAGACATCTAAATTCTTTTATGCAAGAAATGGAAATATTATTAAAACATTTAAGAGATCATTTCTAGAAAAAAAAAAAAAAAGCTGGTTTTTTAACTTCGAGACAAGTGCAGTTTAACAGCAAGTGAAAAATCAACTTAAATCAGATACTACAGCAATATTTATCCATGCAAAACCAAAATTAAATATATCCATTAAATGGAACAGAATTCAGACTGCAGTGTGAAAACCCTTAACTATTCAACCAAATAATAAGATATGTGATATGATTGACACCATCAATTTTATCTGAAAAAAAAAAAATTGACACCATCAGAAACTAAACTCACCACATATAGCTCTGCAGCCGGGATCTTCCCTGAACTCATGTAGTCTTCAAAAGTTTTAAGACCACGATCAATATCTCCAGAATGTAGATAGCATCTTCATGAAAACGAAAATTGAATACAGATTACACATCAAAAAGCAAAATCAATGATTAATCAAAATAGTGGATAAAAGACAGTACAAAACAAGTTCTTGGGTGCATGAAGTTTAGCAGGAATAAGCAAAATATGATGGCAAGTTTGGAAACTAGTAGCCAATATAGTTGCTACAAGAGGTCATCATGATTTTAGATCATAAACCTAATTTGCAAACTTATTTCGTGTAATACACCACTCTATCTTAGTGAAAGAACTCCTTTGTAGTCCCAAAATGCAATGAACTGGAAATAGACAACATATAACAGCCTGCAGCTAGCGGACCAAATCAATCAGCCACTGGAAGAATTTAGAATAGTGCAAAATCTACCATCCAAGCACAGGGCAGCAAAATAATTAATGCAATAAAAAGTCTCCCAGAAAAGGATATAACAAAGCATGTGCAGAAAAGGAATAGCATGCTTGGAGGAAAATGTATAGACAAACACTATACTAAGCATCTAAATTATGCAAAGTCTCCCCTCTAATCACACAGCAGTTAATTGGTGCAACCAAGAAATCTTCCAAAACAAAGAAGTCAAGTACTAAACAGAACTTATCCATAATGGCATACTTGCAGGCACATATGCATAGAGCCATGCAAAATACAGCAAATCATGGACCACATGTTTGTCTACAGCACACTTGAATCAAGTGCATGGTAAAAGTCATTGATTATGAAATCATGCACAAAATGCTCAAGAAAGATCATATTACATGATTGCACCACATTTTGGCTGAAGAAGCAACACAACGTTTACTTACACATAGCTCCAAGTTATATGGGAACAAATACACGAAATTAAAGAATGGTTTTGATAATCCACATCTTGAAGATGCATAAAATGTATAAATAAAAAGTGTCATCTGACTAACACATATACTAATGTTAATCCCTTGAGCAGTATCACTTTTAAGCAGTAGTTGTTATGATTTTATACCTCATAGTTTGCATGGCAATAAAACCATCAGTATCTTTTCCATCCTTCTTAAGCATCTCCAAAATAGTTTCCATTGCCTATCATGACCCAGATTAACATTTAGAAAGAAACAAATGGTAGTGAGATACAATAGAGCATATCAAAGCAGATGCTAAACATAAGTGTTCATGGAAGCAAAAAAGGAAAACAAATGCAAGTTCAACAGCTTCAAGCACAAGGTCCAAGTTTTTGGTCATAGTGGAGAAACAATTCATTCATCACTTTTTGGTCCTCATCCCCAAGTCCAAGTTGCTCCTGAGACATGAAACATTCCAGATCCATCAGCCATACTGATTATATCTATATGTTGATGAACAAAGGTTCTGGCAGCTAGAGTTTTTAAGGTAGTGGCATGTATGGTCGGTGAAGCATAGATGGCTTTTGTCCAGGGAAGGCAGATTAGTACCTGGAATAATATCCTCATCGCTAAAAGCAAGAAGAACCTCACTGCCATCTTTCCTCATTCTATCTCATGGACTGTTTGAACGTAAATGAGTAGAGGTTTTAGGGGTTTGTATCTACTGTTTCTAGGTTTGGAGACTTTTGGTTCCAAACCTTGTGTATTTTGTTCAAAATTCATCCAAATCCAAAATGGAGAAAATCTTGGGACCTTTTTGACACTTAAACTGAGTATATTTTGTTTCTCTTTCCTGTACATGGACAGAACCACCTTGCAGCTTTTTTCTATGTTGAGTGCCATATTTTATTATTTAATTATTTTAATTTATTATTTAATTAGTTTATTATGATATAATTAGAATTTTATAAGAATAATAATCTCATATAAATAGAATTCTGTTAGAATAAAAATTTTCTTGTTAGTAGATTAGAAATTCTATAAATAATCTAAATATAACAATATAAAGGGTGTGAGAAATAAAATTTATATTTTTTTTTCTCCAAAATCAACATGGTATCAGAGCCAAATAAAGCTATTTTAGGGTTCTAATTCTAGGGTTTCCTTAAATCCTTTAAATAGCACAATAGGAATGGTCGGTACCCACTTATCCAGATATACACACATTATCACCCTAGAAAGCCAAGAGAGAGAGTCAAAGAAAAACATATCTGGTATTTTTCCTTCCATCCCGACCAACATTTAAAAACAGAGGGAGCGGGCGGATCAGACCAGATCCGCGCGCGAGCGGTGATCAACCAGCGAGGCAGAGCGTCGACCGGCGAAACTAGAAGAGCAGCACGGGGAGATCTGTCCAAGCGCGGCCGCATGAAACCAAAAAACGAAAGATCTTGGCTGGCCGGAAAGAAATCATGCGACAGGTGATTTGCTTAGATCTGCGTGACTGAAGAGGAAGAGGAAAAGACGAGCGGCGAGATCTGTGCAGGTTGACGACCACAAAACCAGAGAAAGAACGCATGACTGGCCAGAGAAGACAAACCAGCACGGCGATGGCGTGTGGTAGTTCCGGCGGAGGCACATGGCAACGCATGGTGGTCCGGTGGCAGGGCGCCTGGCGGTGTATGGTGGCGCGTGAGAGGTCGTGTGGTACTCCGGTGGAGCCCGAGCCATTTTGAGCCGAGCCCGAGCCGTTTCACTGCGTGAAAAATCTGGTTCCAATTTGCAACTTGGTTTGCAAGTTGGGCATGTGTGATATTCCCACACCAACTTGAGTGGGAGTGTTGAATACCATATTTTATTATTTAATTATCTTAATTTATTATTTAATTACTTTATTATGAAATAATTAGGATTCCATAAAAATAGTAATCTCATATAAATAGAATTCTATTAAAATAAGAATTTTGCAATCAGTAGATTAGAAATTTTATAAATACTCTAAGTGTAACAATACAAAGGGTATGAGAAATAAAATTTATATTTTTTCTCTCCAAAATCAACACTCTATAGCATTATATACTCTTTTACTCAAAAAGAAAAACGAAAGCTTTGAGTGTAAAGAAAGAGTTGAAAAATCTAGAGATTATTGACAGGTCTATGGACTATTTGGTTGGAAAGAAGTCATTCGGCTTGTTGATAATCGACCCTTTCCAGTTGATATGACGTGGGAGAAAATGATTTTTTTGGCTTCCCTATGAGCCAAGGCACATGGACTATTCTCTTGTGTTTCTCTCACTATTCTTCACAGGAATTGGGAAACAATAATCACGTAATCATCACCCTTGGTTCCTTTTTGCCTTTGGCATTATTTTATATGTTTTTTTGTTTTATTTTAGCTTCTTTTCAGTTGGGTATCTTATCCACAGTTTTCGTACTGTTCCATTCTCTTTCTTAATAAAGTTTCTTTTTCTATCAAAAAAAGAAACCTGGAGACTGCAGGCAATTGGTTGAGTATAAATATAATATATACGATACACTAAAATTTCAAGGAAAAGCATCTGACTGAATGTCAAGGCTCAAGGCTAGATTATTGTTATGAACACTTAGTTTGTCTTACTTAGGTTCATTTAAAATTTAATACATAAAAAGATATCTATCTATATTTTCCAATGCACAAAAGAAGGTTTGACATTAACTGCCATGTATTAGTCAATAACATCTATCTTACATACATCCAGATGCCCAGATGCATAATGCCACAAAACATGCGTGCATCGACAAACATGTCAAGAAAAACTGTTAGAATTATTAAAATTAAAGTAAATCAAACGTTTAGAGACCCGTACATGAACACAAATAAAGAAGCTACAAGAACAATTCATGGAAGGTAATTCAAGGTTTAGAGGGGCGAGTTGATACCTCTACATTCTTAAGATCTGCACAGGCATTGAGTGCAACATGATATACAGTTAGCTGCTTATTCAAAAATCGAGTCCTGTGAGCATATTCAGCAGTTGGCATATTATACAACTCTTCTTCGCTAACACCCAGCATCACATTTTCAGCATTGCTACGTGTAGGGTCAACAGACCAACCTTTTGACTGCTCTATAAGCTCAATTATCTTTGGACAAAACAAAAGGCTGATGTTAGATAAATTTTAAAGATATAAACAAATAACATAAAATTGAAAACATTTTACTAAGAGAAAAGTAGCTACAAGTTACTTTGGCTGCTACATCCTCAGTTCTAGGAATCTTGTTCATGTGCGCAGTTATAAGTCCTGCATAGCAGAACTTGTTCAAACCAGCACCTGCTGCAGTCATATCACGGACAATTGCATACCTGTAGCATTTGAAGGCAGATGACATTTTTGTTAAGCCTGCATATATCAGGCAGCTTACTAGGGCAACTTATTTGCAGAAACAACTTGAAGAGGTAAGAAACCACAAAGCCAAATTTCACTCAAATGAAATATGATCAGCTCAGTTACTCCAGTGATCACCCTGGCCTCTTGATATGCTTTGGCAGATGGTTTACATATTCAAGGTCACCTCACAAGAAGCAATTATATATCCCCCAAAAGGAAACAATTATTTATTGAGCAATTAAACTTCAGAAAGAATCACACGTCAGTCAACTCATTCAACATTGATTTCTACAAGTACAGGTTCCTATGATTACACAGGCTCCTATTATTTGCTTTCATAGATGGGTTACATGTTCAAGATCATCTTACAACGACATTGATATGTCTTCCAAAAGAAACAATTATTTGTTGAGTAATAAAATTTCAGAAATCACAGGTCAATCAACTCAGTCAATATTATAGCACCATTCCCAATTAATATTTTGGCAAATCATTTAGGATACCTATGAATCATCCATAAAAAAGATAGGATTGTAGCCAGCAGAAAATGTGCATGCATAGCTGACATGGTTTAGTCCACATGCAAATGAATCAAGGCAGACTTTAGACAAATGAGGAAGAAGCATACACTCGATCTAATCGCCCAGCTGCTGCACATGCATTAAGTAGACAAATATAAGTTTGTCCATTCGGTTTTACTTCATATCTCTTCATTTCTTCCAAAATCTTCAAAGAACAAGAAGGATAGTCTGAAACTTGAATACTTGTAAATATAGTTTGTAATGCTCATGAAAGAATGCTGTTAAGGAAACAATTTTGCTCTAGAAAAGTGAATATGGTAACATACCCGAATTGCCAGGTCTGAGTTCTTGCATTTACCACATGTTGAGATCAGAAAATTGTACAAATTAACCTATACGTACAAATATACAATCAATCCAGACACCAAAACCAAATTATTTTGAAAGCAATCAAGTTACCACTTGACTTTTTTCTCATACACCTATGGAAAGAAGCTACAACTATATTTCAAAAAAAAAAAAAAAAGAAAGAAGCTACAACTGAGAAAAAAATAAGAATTGAACTCCACTTACCTTAACTTCTCACGAGGCTTATCGAGTATTATCTAACAAGCAATTAAGTTTATAGTTTAAGAAAACCCATTTAAAAACACGACCAAATGTGTGAAAACACTGAAACCGTTGGCTAACAGCCACTAAAATACTTGCAAATCCAACTTTCCGGGTCCATAAACTTTTCTTTCTTTGATGCAATTTCAGCAAGAAACAATAAACTGAGATGCAAATAAAAGAAATCCCAGTCACCAAATTCTTAAGATATCCAAAACCCAACTCATTAATCACGAGAACAGTATAATCCAACAGTTCTTGAAACAGAACTTTCCGTCAAAAAGAGAAAAAAGGTTCTAACGTCCCTTATATACGTATTTATTTCTTACTTGCCAGCAACCAATCAAAACATTAAACTTGAGAAATCCAAATGATTTTCTAGGAAACACCAACAAGAGCCAATACAAGGGCCTTAAATTCCTAAATTCCATATTTAAAGTCCATCATTGGTTAGACCTCCCAGTATAAAATACCATCAATTTAGAAGACTGGGAAAGATTAAAAAAAGCAACGACAATAATAAACATACATCTGGTGGCATCCCCATGGTCTTCATTTCCTCACGGAAGAACATAGCATCCTCCAAAGAAGCCCCCCTCATGGTCCCAACCATTAGCGAATGGAATACATCCGTCGTGGGTTGTACCCCGTCTAGCATCATATCATCGTAAACATCCCTCAGCAGATAATACCTGGAAAACCCACAACCCACCCATTAACCCAGACATTGAACCAAAACATTCAGCATATACAGTCAATATAATGATGAAAGACACGAAGGAAACCTGCGTTTAGCGGTGAGAGATTGGACGACAGTGTTGTACTCAGAGACATTGTTGGCGTAGTTTCGCTTAGCATAGTCTTCAGTTGATGCGGCAAAGTACCTCCGACCCAAACCTCGGAGCAGGGACCTGTTTTTCCCTGTGTGATGAACACGGAGAAAAACCCCATGAAAATGGAGAAGTTCAAATATCAGATTGTGACAGTCTAAACAAACATAAATATATATATATAGAGAGAGAGAGAGAGGGAGGGAGAGAACTGGATGAGCACGAAATGGTACCAGAAACGAGCTGAATGAGGACTTTCATGGCGGAAGAGAATGAAAGAGAGGGAAGAAGGTTTTCACTGCAATCCAGTTCTTCAGTAAACCCTTCTTCAGTTCCAGTTCTTGCTCTGAATTGCGTGAACAAAACGCACCGTTTTTTATTATTATTGTTTTTGTAAATGGCAGAATATGGCCAGAGACCAAAACGCACCGTTTTTCTTTTTGTAAAGAGCAGAATAAGGTCGGCGTGGATATTGGGTAGCTGGTGTGCTATATGGACTGGGCCTTTAAAGCCCAACTTTAAAAAAGTAGCCATTTAGTGGAATTTATTTAACAATTTATAGTTTTACCGTATTTAATTTAAATATATTATATTTTTTCATTAAATTCATAAATTTTTAGTTCTTTGATTTTTATAAATTATTTATAATTTATATATTTAATTTATAATTAAATCAATTCAATTCATATACTCGATTATAAAATTATATAATATGTATTTTCACTTATTACAGAAAAAATAACTTCAACTAAGAGAAAAATATAATTTTATATATATTTAATGAAATTTAAATTAAAATAAAACTCGATATTAATTTAATTATAAAACGAGAAAAATATTTCTTCAAATATTAATATAATTTGTAACTATTTTTATCTTTATTATGTATGTTTATTTTGTAGTAAATATTAGTGTAATACTATATAAGTTATGAAATTAATTAACCAATATAAAAGTAATCATATACTTTAATATTTTGTATCGTATTTAAATATACTGTAGATTAATTATAATTATTTTATAATATTTAATTTAATAAAAATAAATATTTAATTTATTAGTGTATTGATATTACAAAGAAGAAAGGCCAAGTTTATACCCTGGCATTGAAGCACTATGAACTTTGGAGAAGAAACAAAACCCAAAAAGAAAATCTTAGAAATACAATACATTAAAAATGCTCAAGAAGCAACCCTAGAAACAGAGTACTTAGAGCCCAAATTATGATGATTCCAAGATTTCTCAATGCAATATTTAAGTGAAGTTGGATTGACCTGCAAGAAAAGATAATTCCCAGCAAATAGATCCCCAAAATGAGATTGACTTTCCTTCAACCTCTTCACCACTTTCCCGATTGAAATCCTAACAGAGGACGCCATAACCCTACTTTTCCTCCTCAAGAACCTGCCCAAACTTGGAACCCTAACCCTAACTCTAACCCTAACCCTTCTCACGGATGGCATCTTCTTGGACCTGAACCAGCTTGATCTTGTTCCCTTTCCAATACCCACTTGTCTCCTCGCTTCGCTTATTTCTTCTTCACAATCATCATGCTCATAATCACACCCAGCTTCTGGTATCAGTCGCTGGTATCCAAACTTGGTTGAACAGGTCATTTCCATATCAAAAAAAAAAAGATGGGTTTTCCTCCTTTCTTTTCTCTGGGTTTCTGTTTTTATGAAGAGAATTGAGATGGGTTGAGGATTTTTTGAGAGAGAAATGGGTGTTCTGGTTGTTATTGGTATGAGTTGTTGATTTCTGAAGCTCACATGAATATGAAGAAAAAGATGAGAAGGTGGGGTTGCAATGGAGACAGTTGGGTGCGTGCATTGATTGCAAAGCAGACTGAAGAAGGCCTGTGATTTGTCTGTTTGGGAGATGAGAAAGTTTATTCTCATCAATATGGTTTTTAGCACAGTTGGCATGGAATCAAGTTTCTTACTTGTTATTATTAATAATACTAATTTTTTGTGTGTAAATAAATACTTTCACCTATTTTAATCACAGTATGCAAATTTGTATATATATATATATTAAATGAGTTAGATAAAGATTTCTACTGGGTAATCAATTTAAGCCATTTGGGACAATCTTGTCATGAATATTTCTGGGTGTCCCAACAGCTTATTTCAGCAATTTATTTCAAGAGCTTGAGGAGTTTGTTGATGTTGGTAGAACCTCAATTATTATTGTCAAATTTTTAGTTATCAAACTTTTTCAAGTCCTCATAACTTTAGTAATCAATATCACTATCTTATATATATATATATATATATACACAGATTTACTACTATCTTGCTTAAGGGTAGAGTATATAATAGACATCATGTCTCTGATAAACCTTCTTTTTTTATATATATTTTATAGTAATTTAGCAAAATTTTTATAATAACTACTAAATAAAGGTGATTGTACAAAAAAAAAAACAACTAAATTACTACAAAATGCTAAAGAAAATTCTCAAGCAAACATAACTTCCAACTCCTGAAACAAGTAAATCTACCAGATAATTTTGAATGACTACGTATTCACAACCATGCACTAGCTGACTGCATGTACATATCCCTCACAGAGTAACCAATAGATCATAAGGAAACAAACAAAAGAATTGGATCAAAATGTACAGCAGGTGAAGATGGATTCCATTTTTTTCCCATTCAGATAATTATATATCAACATCTATCACCATCACTGTTAGGTTAACGAATATAAAGAATTTCTGGTCGAAGTTACGATAAGGAGGCTGCTGCTTTGTTAATAGAGCTTTATTCTGGTCTCAATCGGGCTTCGACAAATGGGACATAACTGAAGTTCTTGTCCACATTCACAACAAGTCTGACAAAACAAAGTATCATCAAATAAGTTGATATAGTCTTTGGTAATTTTGGAAGAAAATAGCATAAAAGAATGAGGGAAAGTGAATAGAGACCTGATGTCCGCAACCAAAGGCCATGTCTTTTGAATTACTTAGGCAAATGGGACAAAGCTGTGAAAAACAACATAAAAGTCAGCCTTAGATCATATTCACCCAAAATGACAAGATGAACTAGTAACGATATGGAACCTCATAAGCAACCAAATATACAAAATTGTAGGACATATCAATATAACATATCAGTCGGCCTTAGATCATATCCGCTCAAAATGATAAGATGAACTAGTAACTATATGGAACCTCAAGGATAGGAGGATGAACACGTCAACATAATATAGAACACCCCTTGTTGGTGTACCAAATAGAAATGGTGAGAAAGATCGACTTTCTAGATCACACCTATTGTCGGCCTTAGATCATATCTCTCCAGAATTTATCAGGCACCATTTAATTGTAGAAAACTCTTGAGTTGCCACTATCTAAAATGTTCTTATACAAAAATATGTACGCATGTTAAAAATGAAGCTACGATTTGGAAACAGATAGTAAAAATATGGTATGAATAAAAGACAACAAAATTATGTATTCCAAATTACACCATCTTTTCATAATCATTTTCCAAATCATGTCCTCATTTTCAACAATTGACCACATTTTTTCCATGGAAACATAAAAAAAATAAAATGAGTGAAAATAGAAAGTAGTTTTCTACAACCAACCCGGGCCCTAAAATGGTTGTGTATTAGTCTAAACCCAAGAGATAATATAATAAGCTGGTTGCAAATGCTAGGAAGGCTTCGTTTAGCAAGTATAAGAGTATAAATAACTTTGCAGAGCTAGAAAATGGTAGGAATTGAAATCAAAATTGACATTTCACTCATTCGTCATAAATATAAAAGATACCTTCCAATCAACAAGACATAGCATGCTCAAGTCACTAGTTTTTATTTTCTTTCACAGTTTCTAGTCAGAAATTAAGAACAGAGTGTCAAATATGGCCTCCAGTTTCCCATGGCTCCGTAGTCGATACTATCGTGATCTTAATTATACATTTTAAGCTAGCAGCTTAATAGACAATTGAATAAGATTATGCTCTCACAAAAAAAGAGGTCTTTTTGGAAACAAAATACCTGGTTATCATAGGTAGAACTTGTAGCTGGTGGGGCACTGCTGACAGGTCTACTCTCACTTGGATAGGAAGGCACACTTGGTTGAAAACTAGGGATGCGAGAAGGTTTCAAGCTACTAAAAGACGCAGCACCATATAGAGGTGGAGGAAGGGGAACCCTCTGAGGAATATTCTCTTTCCGACGACTGCTCAAATGATGAGATTTGTCAGATTTTACAGGATAAAAGAGATCTAAGAATCTTTAAAAATAACAAAAAGAGGGAACTATATATCACCCCAATAGATTAAGCTCTATTGTTGCTTTATACTGAGAAGGAATTTCCATCAAAGCAGCAAGCGCAAATTCTGTCTCCTTCCGTGATTGATCTCTATTCTTTGACATAATTTCCGTGAAATTCACAAACTAAAAAGAAAAACCCAAAAACACGTTATTAATGACGGCATTTCTCTTTATAGTTACAGAGCAACAAAATTACTAGTAACATTCACCTGGAAATTATCAAACGCTCGAGCAGGAATGTTATCGTCAAATTCCTTCATCATGTCCCAAGGTCCATCTCCAACCCCAACCAATATAATTGATAAGGGAAGCTTACTGTTAACGGAAAAAAAATTAAAAAACATGTATAGACAAAAATTATTGCAGGAGATAGCAGGGATGCAATGTTCACCTAGCTTCTACAATTGCTTCTACGGTTTTCTGTTCCTGTGGACTTAGCTGCCCGCGCTCAGTATCAACACTCCTAGTTACCTGAAACAACCGTGAATTCTAAAAGCCTTAATCCTTAGAGGAAATAAAATTGCAGCAATCAAACCCCTTCTGTACAGGCTACACTACAAAAGCTTTCGTAGACAAAAAGAAAAACATTATAAATCAACAGAGAGCATTATATCCTAATTCCCATGCAAAGTACCTGTCCATCAGCAATTATCAACAATACATGGTACTGTCCACCACTTTGCTCAACAATTGTCATGGCCATCTCTATAATGGGGGCAAAGGATGTTGGTCCTGTAAGAAAATATCAGTAAGGATAAGCTACAAGAATCAACCAAATGAACTTAGCAATAATAAAGAACAAGGTTGGAGAAAACAACTGAAACCTGCAAGTTTTAAACAAGGCACAATGTCACGGTAGAGGCTTAGAACCTCCTCAAACCCATTACAAAATCTCTCATCTATATGGAAACTGAAAACATCTTGATCATGTGTTGATGCTGCCAACATACAGTAGTGATGATTGTTACCATCCTAATACTTGAAATAAATAAATACGAAAAGGATAATAACTAAAACTTACCATCTCCAAATCCAAAACATGGAATCAAGTTATCTTCGTCAAAGGCAACTAAGGTTTTACCAATAATAGATATTGCTTGCTCATATGGATTAAGACCATTTCCGATGTAATGCAAGCTTTTCCTATTAAAAGACCTTGCCCCTGATCAAAATATTAAAAAGAAAAAAATCAGTATATTGAACATTGTCTCCTTGGTTGAAGTGCTGGAGAAAGATGAGGCTGAAAAACTTAACCTGTCCACTCGTTACTCTTTGTGAAATCAATGCCGACAATGAGATTGGAAGACTCAAGACCAGCATGTGCTAAAGCCTCAGTCACCTGCAGAGAGGAACAACAGTCAACTTATTCAACTTCAATGTTTTGGCTAGCTTCATTATGCCCAGAAAAAAAAGACATGGAACATGAAGCGGCATCTTAAAAACTTACAGTGCTAAAGTGGATATGCATTTGAAAAAGATGAGAGCATGTTACAAAATACTACTTAATGTATTAAAGAAAAGAACTAATGACCATGTTAGTCCTATAGTTATAGGACTATTGCACAGGGGTCCCAATCTTTTCTGTTACAATTTGATGTCAAAACAAGAAAGAATATACTCCCTTTTTGTTATAGTTAGGTCTTATAAAATGCTAAGGAAAAAAGACTACTACATAAGTTTTCTTATAATTTGAGGGCATAATTGCAGTGAAAAGAAAATCTATGGCTAAGTTCTAACCCCACATGCTGTTGTGGGAGTAAAATAATAATTATTCTGAAAAATAACAATGTTGAAAATTAGTCATTATCACTAAGCCAGATGACTTCAGGCTGCATAATCCTGAGCTCCTGGATAACCTCTTCAACAATACCATAAAACCAGCTTCTTTAACTATGATTAAAAATATAAAGTGAACAACACGGAAAATGTGTTATGTATGTGAAACAAAGCATGAACAATCAGTAATAAAATCATTAACTACTTTCAAAGAACAACCAGGGGAAAAAGTGATCGCAAGTTCAAAACCATGGAAAAATAAGTGAGAATCACCACGAATGTAAAAAGACACTGCAGAACAGACATCGATATTCTTCTTTTTCTTTTGAATAGAAGTCATGATTCTTGAAAATTGTCAACCATTTCAACGCAAGGATTGCATTTGGTTTTAAGATTAAAGGTTAAAATCTCAATCAGGAGATGATATATAGTCTATCCTTCCTTGGTGCCTCTACCATGTGATCTTACCTGTTCTAAGGAATTGTAGTTATCAGCAATTCTTGAATACTTCCGTTCAAATGTTTTATTACCACTTCTGTTATCTTGAGAAGTGGAAGGAGGCGGATAATATGGCTGTGATGCATAACTTTGCTGCAAAGCATAACTTGGTTGTGAAGCATAACTTGGCTGTGGCCCATAACTTGTCTCAGGGGCAAAATTTTGATGTTCATAACCATAAGGTGATTGAGAAAACCCATATTGAGATCCCCATGAATATGAACCTGAACGAGAATCTGAACGAAGAGACGAAGTCTGCCTCCAACTCCCCTCCCGCGAACTCTTGCCTCCCATCACATAAAGCAATCAACGGAGATCAAAACAAATCCAACTACTTACCCAAGACAACAAATTCAATCAAACAAATCCAAATCAACACCTGCAGGAGAAACACCAAAAGAAGACCAAGCACCAATATAAGAGCCTATTCAAAAACCCAAGAAGACAATGGCTATGAATACAAGAAGTGAAACCAACCACCGACCAAGAAAATCCCAAATCTCCAATATTCACCAAACCCAGGTCTCTCCTTCCACAACCAGTACCCAATCAACCAAAGAAAACCACAATTTACAGTGATATACACAATTTGAATGAGCCAAAAAAAAAGAGAGAAGGGACACCCAGGTTACCAAGAAGGTTCATAGACTTGTTGATTACCAAAAACAAAGAAAATATCAAAGAGGCTGCATCAGCCTCTAGATAGTAGAAACAGACTTGTTCACGAAACCGTCGCCGCCTTATACCAAAACCTTCTACGCTAAGCACATTGTAAAATTCCATATCAACCTACAAATATACTTCATATAGATATATATGTGTGTACATATCTCCAAGTAATTCCATGCTGATGTTTTCGGTAAGTTACAATGATGCCAGCCAAACAACTCAAAAAGGAAAAAAAAAATCAACACACGCCAAATTAATTTTTCATAACTTTTTAATAAACTCACGCTGGCAGCCGCGTGAAAAAGTCGTGCAAGACACCAAGAAGACAAGTCGATATAGCCATTCCAAACTAATAACGCACCGTCAAACCCCCTACCCCACCAGATTCAAACAGCGATAAAACTAGAAAACCACGGCCCTTCTCATAATTTTCATAGAAATCCAAGACCCATATCGTAATTTCCCCAAAAATTAAAGGTTATGTATTCAAAAACACAAATTGAAAGGAGAATGAGTGGAGTACCTGTATGTGAAGAAGATGGACTCAGCAGTATGGTAAACCAAAATGGGAGAGCTTTACTTCAACGGAGAAGAATCAAGAAAACTACCAGATCCGTTTCCTCTTCTTCCCTTTTAAAATTAATTTATGAACAAAAATATTCAGATTAAAAGCAGCAAAACTTTATGCGTACACTTCGTTGAAAAAACGGGAAAGAAAAGAGACACCTTTTTGAGTGATTTTGGTTCAATGGGTATCACATGGAAGGTTCATGGTAATGGAAAATGGAATCTTAGCTGCAGGGTTCTTTTTTGCTTTTGCCCGAGTTGGTGCCTAATAGATACGCACGAAGGGTACTATATTTCCTATCATCTAATTCAAATCAATTACATACGTAATTATGATTAGAAAGTTAATTAAAGTGCAAAATAGTAATTTTATTTAAGATTATATGCCATAAATTGATGTAAAAAAAATATTAAAATAGACAAATAATAAAAAATATATATATATATTAAATTTCATCAAATGTATTTTTTATCATGATCTTCAATTTTCTTATAAATTCACATTATTTTTTTTAAGTGTTAGTATTAAATTAAATTAAAAATAGACCCTTTGTGAGATATAATTGTTATATTTATTTAAAATATTTAAAAAAATTAAAAATTAAAAATTTAATATTGTATGATTTACCTAAGGAACAAAAATTAATTTTATATCATAAATCTAAATAAAAAAAAATTATCAAATAGATTAACTAAATCTTTTAATCGTCACACGTTTGGTATTTAATTAAAAAATATATTCTTTATATTTTTTAATATATTAATAATTGAGTGTAATATAAAAAGTTAAATGGTAAAATAATTTAATTATTATAAATATTTTAATAATTAGTTAGAAAAGTAATTATTTAACAATTTAAATTTATAAAATTAATATAGTATAATAATAGACTTTAAATTAATGTATAAATACAATTTTATTCCATGTTTGGATAAGATCTACTTTTGTTTTTTGCCTAAGGAATGGAGACAATTAGGATTCCCATTTCGAAAGGTTTTCACATGAGGTCAAAGTTTATCACCTCGTGATGAATCATGTCATATATATATATATATATACATATATATATATATAACATGGGTTGGCACCATTCAATACTATTTTCAAGAGTAAATTTTTAGAAATTTGTGCGAAATTTTATTTTTGAAATTTATATTTGATTTGATTTGATTTTTAAATAATGTATTTGTCATTGAAATTTTTTATTTAAAAAAAACATGAAATTAATAAAATAACAATTAAATTTGAATTTCATATAAATTTGTGTAAATAACATAATCTTTTTATTATTTCATGCAAGGTTTTAGTTATTTAATTATTTTTTACAAGTGTGTAAGTTGTAAACAAGATTTTAATAATTTTTTTAAATTTTTTAAATATAATTTTCGTTATTCTATTTTTATCTATTTATTTTGTTAAATATAACCATTTAAGATAATTAAGCCAAAATTTTGATAATTAATAGAAAATTAAGACCTCCAATTTCAAGTTATTTTCTTTTAATCTAATTGAATAATGTGCTAATTGACTTTTTTTTTTGCCATAATTCAACAAACAAAAAGAATGTCAATTTGGTCTAATTGAATAATTTTCATACAATTTTTTCAAATAAAAAATAAATTTCTACACATATATTTATATCATTATCATCTAATTTGGTCATAATTCCCTAAGCTTGAGGTCTCCATCAACAACCAAATTTCTTAAATTCTTATTATTTAATTGTATTTTAGTTAATTTATTTTCATTATCGAAATAATGGGCCAAATAAAGTTTATTTAAAAATTTTGAAGAACTAAAGTTTGCATCCGAAATTCATTTAATCCGAACTATTCGAATTCAATATGATATTAACTTTTTTTTTTTTAAATATGAGTTTGAATTCGAGTTAACATAAAAAAAAAAAGATAGGTTTAAATTTAATATTTTAAAAATCATTCGAACCCAAATTGTAAAATTTAATTAAGGATGAATAATTTGAATATAAACTCATTTAATCTGATTTATTCGAACCCAATTTAATAAATATCTAATATTATTAAAATAAATTTGAAAAAAAATTACACTCATAATTACATTTTAGTAAATTTAAATAATTAAATATCCATTCATAAATTATGAACTTGTGACCCACACATCCACATTTTAGGCCCATGAACTGAATTTCAATATACGGGCCTTAGTAGGCCGACTGCTTCGTTTTCATCGGCCCATCTAATGACACGTAAGCCCATCTAAGGGGCTCAGGTGATCCGTACCGCACAGGATCTCTACTCCTTGTTCTTATAGCATCTAAAACACTCCAACCCCGACATCTCCTTTTCCCTGGAACTCGCGTAAAGAGCGGCAACCAAATCTGAAGCTCTCTGCTTCAGGAATTTTGTTCTTTCATGTCTCACCGATGACACAGTAGCGGAACCCTGAACTGTCCCCGGTCCGGGTAGTTCTCGCACTCGGGTATAGAAAAATGAAGCAAAAAGACAAGCAATTTCGCACTGCGAAGCTGCTGACTTACTCTCTAATCGGACTTATCGTGTTTCTCGGATTGGCTTGTCTGTACTACGGATCCTCGTTCGCTCCAGGTGTGAGGAGATCCGATGAGGAACTTCACGGGTACGATGGGTCCGACCCGATTATCAGCCGCGGTTTGCGGGAGGGAGAATTTGGTAACGCCGGAGTACCCAAGAGTTTTCCTGTACGCTTCCTTGTTTGGCTTACTGTTTTCTTTTTTTAATGGAGCTCGATAGGAGTGTGATTTAGGATTCACTATTGTTTTAATGGGGTAAATTTGACTGGTTATCAGTTAGTAATGCTTGTGATTAAGTAACTTCATATTCAGTTTTGTGGAGCATAAACTTAATATGTTGATAATTCAGTAGGTTATATATATATATGCATATATATAAATATATATATATTGCGTGTATATGAATTTATATATGTACAAATTTATGATGCAGGTCAGTGCAAGAACCTGAAATTAATTGCCATATATGTGTTTATATATAAACAGATATATGCTAAATTTCTTACATTGGGTTTTAGATTTGATGGAGATCATGCCCATGTGGAGGAACCTGCATTAAATATGTATATGTATCTATTATGTATGCACATTTCTTATCCTGGGTTTTAGATCTGATGAGGATTATATCCATGTGTGAGAACCTGCATTGAATGGAGTCTTCAGTTCTGTGAATCGACTTTTTTTATCGAAAATTAATTTTCTTATTCAAGATTTTGATTATTGGAAATAATAGGTTTGCATGATCGTTACAGGTGTGTGACATGAAATATTCAGAGTTAATACCTTGTTTAGATAGAAACCTTATGTACCAATTAAAGCTGAAGCTCAATTTGACATTGATGGAGCACTATGAACGGCATTGTCCACCTCCAGACCGTCGCTACAATTGTCTGATTCCACCACCGAATGAGTACAAGGTTGTTTACCAATCTTTTTTAATTGAGTCTGTCTTATCTCGGCTTCAGTTAGTTTTGATGCCAACAAATTTTTCTTCTAGAATTTCAGATCCCAATAAAATGGCCTGCTAGTAGAGATGAAGTGTGGAAGGCAAATATACCCCATACGCACCTTGCACAAGAGAAGTCAGATCAGAATTGGATGGTAGTGAATGGGGATAAAATAAATTTTCCGGGAGGAGGAACTCATTTTCATTACGGAGCTGATAAATACATTATTGCTCTTGCTCAGGTATATGTTCCTTAATCTATTCTTTACGTCTATTTGTTTTATTGTTGGTAAGTACATTGTTTCATTGGTTGACTTAAGTAAGGAAAAGGCGAAACAATGTGTTATTGTTTATGATTTGTTAGGTATTGCCTCAATAGACCAATCGAGCATCATTTTGTAATTGAGATAAGTTTCTTTGGATATTTGTTTATTGCCACAGATGCTAAAATTTCCGGGAGATAAACTCCACAATGGTGGGAAAATCCGAAATGTTCTTGATGTGGGTTGTGGGGTTGCTAGTTTCGGAGCATATCTTCTTCCCCTCAACATTATAGCCATGTCTCTTGCGCCTAACGATGTACATGAGAATCAAATACAATTTGCTCTAGAGAGGGGGATCCCATCAACTCTTGGCGTCCTTGGTACAAAACGACTTCCCTACCCAAGTAGATCATTTGAACTTGCTCATTGTTCACGATGTCGGATAGATTGGCTCCAAAGAGACGGAATCCTCCTATTAGAACTTGACAGATTACTAAGACCAGGAGGTTATTTTGTGTACTCATCTCCCGAAGCATATGCACATGATCCTGAAAATCGGAGGATAGGGAATGCTATGCATGACCTTCTCAAAAGAATGTGCTGGAGAGTTGTTGTGAAGAGAGACCAGACTGTAATATGGGCAAAGCCTCTCTCCAACAGCTGTTACTTGAAGAGAGATCCTGGCACAAACCCTCCCTTGTGTGATTCTGATGATGACCCAGATACAACTTGGAATGTGCTGATGAAAGCCTGCATTTCACCATATTCAGCAAGTAAGTTCTCATGGCACACGCTTGTATTTGATTGACAGATATGAGGTAATTTGTGATCCATTTTGTGTCGGTGGTATCATTGTATTTATTTTGGTAACATGGCATGTATATATATTAGGTACATCAATTTTGCACTGAAATATTTTGCTTTTTTTAATGTAATGACAATAGGTCACAGTCAAATGTGAGAAACAATTAATGGTTTGCTCTCGATCTCAATGCTTGTGGACAATATATAGTAGCATTCAGCTTGAGATTTGATGATTCCTCTTTTTTGCGCAGATGCCACCCCAATTGTACATATGATACTCAGAAGAGTTCTATTTTCTAAAACTACCCTTTCCATATTCATTTTTTTTATCCTTTTCTTCTTTCATTGGTATGGCCAGAAACAATGACAACCATGGTATTGGGCCCCTGTTTTTCTCTATCTTGATCTGTTTTCTGATCTGCTGCTCTATTTTCCTCTGTTTAGCCCTTGTTGCTTTTCTTTTCTGGATTGTTTTCCGCTGCGTTTATTTAATTATATTAAATAATTAATAGCACTATTTTCCAATGGTGGCCTAGAGAAATTCCTGGCTATGATGATGAACCTCCATTTAAACATAATTCAACGTATCATCATAGCTTTTGTTGATTGTGTATAGTGATGTTTATATCGGAGTTCAGTATTCTGTTTGTTTTGGAAATACTAATGCCATAATTTCAGCCTTTCTGATAACTTGAAACATAACGCTGTTGCTAAAAATGCTTCTTTGACTTTTACCCTTTTTTTCTTATCATTTGCTACTTCTTTGATTTGACAATATAGGGATGCACAAAGAAAGATGGAGTGGATTAGTTCCTTGGCCACAGAGGCTAACGACTCCGCCTCCTCGCCTGGAAGATATTGGTGTCAGTCCCGAGGAATTCCACGAGGACACTGTAAGCTTCTGAAATTGCAAACAACTACTTCATGTATAGAGTATATTCTTTTACTCATCAAATATCATTTCCATGCAGAGCATATGGAATTTTAGAGTGGCTGAATACTGGAAGCAGATGAAATCAGTAGTACAGAAAAACTCAATCAGAAATGTCTTGGATATGAACTCGAACCTCGGAGGCTTCGCTGCTGCTCTCAAAGATAATGATGTCTGGGTGATGAATGTTGCTCCTGTCAACATGTCTTCCAGATTGAAGATTGTTTATGATCGAGGATTAATTGGAACTGTTCATGATTGGTATGCAATTTTTAACCTTGCAATTAATAACTCCCCTGGTTTCAGAAGAAACTTGCAATGCTCTTTCGTTACATGTTTTATTGTTAACGTGCAAATACTGTTTGGGGATACTGTGTCATTTTCCTAAATGTTGTATGGTTACAATTTGTTTTGTAGGTGCGAGGCATTTTCCACATACCCTCGAACATTTGATCTTCTTCATGCATGGACTGTGTTTTCCGAGATTGAGGAGCGTGGCTGCAGTGCAGAGGACCTCCTAATCGAAATGGATCGGATACTAAGGCCGCATGGATTTGTTATCATACGAGACAAATCCTCGGTGCTAGGTCATATCCAGAAATTATTGTCTGCATTGAGGTGGGATGGCTGGTTATCAGAAGTTGAACCAAGATCAGATGCTCTTTCAACAAATGAAGAAAGAGTTTTAATTGCCAGAAAAAAGTTGTGGCATGAAGAGATCTTGACGATGTGAATTTCTTTCAGACGAGCAGGTATGTACAATCAGATGAATTGCATGATGAAGGATTTGGCTGGTGCTTGAAAGCTCCTGGAAATAGAGTTTAGTTTATCATCCTTGTTGGTTGAATTGGGTAGGTAGAGAAATAGGGGAAGTCTAGTTTGATTAATCATTTTGGGGAACCCACATTGTAATACTAGTTTTGTTTTATTAGTTATGAAAATATATATGTATTAGTTTATGGTACTTTTAAAGCTTTTGAACACGTATGATACTATGAAGCTTGTGAAATTTATTTTTCTTAATTACACTGTAATATATGTTAATTTTACACTAGACAAAAGTTGAAACTAAGATCTTTTATCTTCCATCAAAATTTTTGGAACCCTCTGTGGAGACAAAGTGTTGATTTGGAAACCAGATGAGTGTATCTAACATTAGATGTCTATAATTTCTATACATTGTATAATGTATTGTGTTTTACATTAGATGCATGTATGTATAAATAAATAATTTGTATGTACTGTATAATATCTTAATTATACATTAATATACATTGTGTGTGTAATGTATTTAGTAAGAACTAGAGTTATATATATATATCTTATCAAAAAAATAATTATATTAATTATATATATATATCTTACTTTTAATTAAAAAATAATAATAATTAACTAACTATTTTTTAAGCTCCTCAATTGAGTAATAACTTCTTATATTTTTATTTAATAAATTTAATTAACTATTTTTTAATATCTATTCAAAATTAACATAACATAGATTACTTATAATAAATAAATTTTTATTAATCCTTTGTAAAAATAACTATTTAGTTTTTTACAATTAATATTTTATCTAAATAAATAATTATTTATTTTTAATTAAAAATTATTCACTTTAAATAATGTAACATCCACCTAATTTTTTTTTATTTTTTATTAATAAATAATTTTTTTTAATTATTTAATTTATTTTATTATATTTTGTTTTATTTTAATTTAATAGAAAAAATTGAGTAAATTGATAAAGGATTAAATAGAAAACAATTTTGAAAAAATTAAGTAAAAATTTGGGTTCTAAGGGTATTTTTGAAAGAAAAATAAAAAATTAGGGGTCAAAACGTAATTTAAAAAAATTGTGCCACGTCAGACATTCAGTCAGCAGCCCCGACCAATCAGAACGTGCCAAGTGGCAGAGGCGCTGACGTTGGAAGCCACGCGGGGGGAGTCACATCGGCGATTCACGTGTGCGTGATTGAACGACTGAGGTTCATTTCTGCGTGTATCGACGACCCAGAGTGAATCGCGCACGGACGGTCCAGATTGGATCGCGATGAACGACCCAGATTCACTTTCTATTTCGTCGCGATCGGACGGGACAGATCAAAAGCGACAGACGGTCCAGATTAAAAGCGAATGGGTATAAATAACCTAATCTGCACCTAAACCCTAACCCTAGCCGCCAGAACTCCTCGCCGGAGAAGACAACCCAGCCGCCGGGGAGCCGACCGCCGCCACCAGCCGCCGCACCGGAATCCTTTCCGACCGCCAAAAAAGATAAAAAAATTTTTTTACACAAAATTCAATTTTAAACCCATTCATGACCAAATCCGAGTGAAAGAGCCGGCCAATTAGCTGGAAAACACCGATGAAGCCCGGCACCGCCGCCACAGAGAATTTTACAAACTGCCTCCGATGAGGTCTTTCCCGATTCCTATTTCGTATAATTTTTTTACCGTTGTGATCACCGTTTTCTTCTCTACAAGTTGACCGAAGTGAAACACTCAACCTCAACATGAGCTGGAGGAGTCACCGCACCAGAGAGCTCCGCCACTGGTGAGTTTTGGTTTTTCGCATTTTTTCGGCCTACCAAGGTTCTTTAGCGTGTGTGATCGCAGGAATCGATGTAAAATCGACCAAATTCGGTCGAAACGATCGACCTGAGGCGGATCGCCGCCGTGCCGGATTTTCAAAATTGACCAATTAGCCCCTGAGACTGATTTTGGGTTTATTTGGGATATTTGTAGGTATTATAAACGCGTTTCAGTTTCCGGAGAAAAATTAAGGGAACCCAAAGACCACCCGTAGGCGCAGTAAATTATTTAACTTTTCGACGTCTAATCAAGTAATGACCCCTCACCCTATTTCCTATCATAGAATTGAAGTTTGAATAAATAGTAATACGGTATTTTGTACAAATTAAATATATGTGCATAATTAATTACGAATTGCTAATGGAGCCCGAACCGGACATTATTCTCTGTTGGTTTATTTTACAGTCTAAAAGTATGATGGTATCTGGTTTATCTATTTTATGGTTTAAATGCATGTAATATTACCTTACCTTATCACTGTTTAATTTTAGGATTTGAGACATGATTGCATTACCAGATACATATTTATTTGTTTATGTGATTATATTTAATTTGATAATGGAGACTAAGGAGAAATATAAAAGAGGTGTGATCAAATAAATAGATAGAATGACAGCCTTACTAGATTGGGAGATGGTGAACAGACCGGGTACATAGGGAACCCTACCGTGAACGTTGTCTCATACCGGACGGGGTATGAAAACTTGATAATTTGACGCTCATACCAGACGGGGTATGGGGATGACCCGCTGCACCTTCATATCGGACGGAGTATTGAAGTTTAATGTCTTGGAGCTCATACCGGACAAGGTATGAGGACAACCCTGTAATTGAGATTGTTAAGGAAAAATGTTCACGTGTAGCGGGGACACCCCTATGAACTCTTATGAATACTAGTAGGCTGGTGAAATAAGAAATGGTTATGATTTAGTTTATTGTTAATGAATATAAATTTATGATATGTTCTATGTTGCTGATTGTTTATGAAGTTATGATCTGTATGATATTATTGTCTCTATAGATTATTTTCATAAATTCCACAATAGTAAGTGAACGGTAAATGATTTTATGATTGATAAACGAATTTACTAAATTTAGTGCTCCATTAATTGTTTTGATTTTCTACCAACCTTTATTTCTGTGCCGGTGATATAGTGTGGTATCCTTATTGGGCTAGTGTAGCTTATCCTTTATTTAACCATTTCAGATCAAGAAGGCCTGGTTCTAGAGTCTGATCTGCAAGAAGATTGCGAGTAGATACTAGATCATTTTTATTTTTTATTACTTTTCTTATTTCTCGTGTTTCTTTCAGAGAATTCATTCCGTAATGTTTGTTTAGTACTTTTAAGTTATTGTGTAAGGGATGTAACCCTCAACCTTTTATTTCGCTTCCGCACTTAAATTATTATATATCTTTTTTTGAATTTTCGGGGTCGTTACAAATAATGTAAGCTTAAATGCTTTAACAATCTCGAATTCTTTATAAGTATAAGCAGGTTGGATATTACATATAAAATTTTACTCAACCAGAAATGACTATTTGACCAACCGTTATAATGTGCTATTATATGTTGGATGTTACATGTGAAATTTTACTCAACCAAAAATAATTATTTAACCAACCGTTATAGCGTGTTCTTACACATTGGATGTTACACGTGAAATTTTACTCAACCAAAAACGACTTTTTGACCAACTGTTATAACGTGTTATTGTACATTGGATGTTATACTTGAAATTTTACTCAACCAGAAATAATTATTTGACCAACCGTTATAACGTTTTGTTACATGTTGGATGTTATACGTGAAATTTTAATCAACCAGAAGTGACTACTTAACAGACTGTTATAATGTTCTACTACACGTTGGATGTTACACGTGAAATTTTACTCGACCAAAATGACTACTTACCGACCGTTATAATGTATTATTCCAAATTGGATGTTACACGTGAAATTTTACTCAATTAAAACTACTTGATAAACCGTTATAACGTTCTATTACACGTTGGATGTTACATGCAAAATTTTATTCGTTTAGAAACGACTACTCGACCAACCGTTACACGTAATAAATTCACTATATGAAATAATAAATATATTTTTTCAAAAAATAATTACTTATCAATTTAATATTTAGAGAATTTATTATCTATAATAACAGCCTCTCTGCCGGTATAAATATTAGTTTTTAAGTGAATATATGCCATTTGTCTATTTGTTCCCGCGTATTTCTCTCATCAGCATCTCCCATATTCATCAGCCCCCTGAAAATCTTACTCAATCTTCCAGTTGCGTATAGATAATAAAATCGAGAAACCGTTTTTGTTAAATTATTCAGGAATTTACCATTTCCAATTTATCTTCTGTTTTCTCAATTTTTCCGAGAAATTTTAAAGAGTGTATATATACATATGTATAGGAGTATATTTTTAACCTGGAGTCGGTATCTGTGGATGATCTGATGAAGATGGAGTCCCAAATGGTGAGTGAATTGACTAATGGCGTCCAAAATCACTTATCTCTGCAATCTGTTCCTGGAAAGCAACCTTTTATTATTGGTATGATCGGCTTAATTATTTCTGAATTTAATAGAAAATAAAATTTAATTTGTCATTTTTTTTTTCTCTTCATTCTCTCTCTCCCTCGCTTGATCATTGCTTTTTGCTTCAATGTATAAGGTGTTGCTGGAGGAACTGCGTCTGGCAAAACGACTGTGTGCAACATGATTATTTCCCAGCTCCATGATCAGCGTGTTGTTCTTGTAAATCAAGTAATTTCCCCATTTTTCTCAATGTATTTTTGGTAATGATAATTATTATTATTTAACATCAAGTTAGGGAATGAAGAACAACGCTAACCTATATGGGATTGTTTTAATGGATCTACTAAAGAATTTTCAAATCCTGGAAATAAGAGAAAACAGAATATGAATTAATTCTATGTAAGTTTTCTTTTTCTTTTAATTTTAATTTATTTAGTTTAAAATTTTGAAGTATCCGTGAATAGTAGTCTCAAGGCAAAAAACTTATATTGAATTCTGATAATAAAACAAAATGGTTTGAATTGTAATAAGATCAAACTACAAAAAGATTAAGACTCTACTTGTTACAGATTTGATCTTTCTGTTTGTATGTGGAATTACTGTAGGATTCGTTTTACCACTCTCTCAGTGAAGAGAAGCTGAAAAATGTTCATGAATACAACTTCGACCATCCTGGTAAGCATGTCATTCTCACTGGCTGCAAGGTGTTTGATTTATGTTCGCAACATATATTAGAGTAACTATAGGGTATTTCAAGAGCACAAATGAATTGACACACCTTGTAGATGTTATTGATACACTTTAAATTTTATTTCTATAATTTTTTCACATAAATTTAAAAACATTTACAGAATTTTACTAACTCATCTATACTCCTGGAGTACTTTATAATTACTTATATTGGCTCAAGTGGTAGAAAGTTATTGGATTGAAGAACCTACAAATTCAAAGTCTTCAATTTGAATTGTGGCATGTTTCATTTAGTGTTCAGATGGTTGCCAAATTTGACATGTTTCAGTTGATTTTGAAATTTGTTTTGTGTGATTCTAATGGAAGCTTATTTCGTGTTAAAATTGTTCATCTAGATGCCTTCAATACAGAGCTCTTGCTTTCATGTATGGAGATTTTAAGACATGGAGAGGCAGTTAAGATCCCGGATTATGATTTCAAGACTCATAAAAGCTCTCCATCGGTATATAAGGTACTAAAACTGATTGTTTGGAGATGAATTCAGCATATGCTACTCATATGGTAGACATTCTGTGCTACTGTTATTTCAGAAAAAAAAAATTTAACTTGCATTTTGCATCTCAGTTTAGCCAAAAAAAAATATTTGGAAAAAACAAGACATAGTTGTTTGGATTGGAAGAAAAACATTTGGCTCTTAATGCTGCTGCATATTTGACAATCTAACGTAGGTTAATCCTGCTGATGTAATCATTTTAGAAGGCATACTTGTCCTTCATGATTCTCGCGTCCGTGACCTCATGAACATGAAGATCTTTGTTGACACAGGTTCTTCTTTTGCTTTTCTGATACCTAGGTTTTTATTTTGTGTATTTGGTTCTGTACATAAGCAATTTATCAGACGGCACTTTTGTCTTTTGCTTACATAAAAGAGCATTTTCCGGGTTCCTAGTTCTTACAGCCAACATTTTTGCCAGTTTCCTTTTTAGTACGTCATGATCTTTTCACTTTTATTTTGCAAGTATTATTGACAACTATCTTCAATCCAACCACATTGCAACAATGTTGCCAGTGCAGATTCTGATGTTCGTCTTGCACGGAGAATTCAACGTGATACTGTCGAGAGAGGGAGAAATATCCAAAATGTGCTTGACCAAGTTAGTTGCTTCCTCCATATATATATATATTTTTTATATATATATTTTGTGAGGCTCCAATTGGAATGTTTAACAGCTTATGATTTTATATAGTGGTTAAATGACTCGCTACCAATAGTTTGAACTGAAATTTTCTAAATTAGTAACTTTGTGTGGAGTTAACGTAGATATTTTGTTATTTGAATATAGTTTTATTTATGATCAATCATACTATTGTTGCTTAGGGTGGTCTCATCAATATTTTTTCTCTGCAACTTACAGTATGCTAAATTTGTCAAGCCCAGTTTCGATGAATTCGTACTGCCATCGAAAAAATATGCAGATATCATCATCCCAAGAGGAGGAGATAATGATGTCGCAATAGACTTGATAGTACAGCATATCCGACTGAAGCTTGGCCAGCACGATCTGTGTAAAATATATCCAAACATATTTGTTATACACTCAACATTTCAGGTACCACACTCTAAAATTCGTCTGAAAATTGTATTTTGTTGACATTTTATTTTCACTTTCAGTTTCATGGTGTTTTTGTAATGGTTTCAGATTAGGGGTATGCACACCCTGATTCGTGATGTCAATGCAACGAAGCATGACTTTGTATTCTATGCAGACCGATTGATTCGTTTGGTAACACAACGAAATTCTAGATTGAAGCAGAGATAATCCAAGATTTATGAATCATATTTTCACATGTTGGACGGTCCTGATTTTTTTTTGTTTCATAATCAATGTTTTAGGTGGTAGAGCATGGTCTAGGACACCTTCCTTTCACAGAAAAACAGATAAATACTCCAACAGGTAATTTTCCCTGGATCATCTGCTGTCACTTTCTATCATATGAAGACTTAGCACTTGAACGGTAGACACCAAAGCCATGAAAATAATATTTCCATTCTCATTTTCCTTTCGAGATTGTATTGGATTGATTTTTTGTTCTATGCTTTTGTCATATATTAAATGGAAAATATTTCAGGTCTGGTCATATCTTACTTGTACTCTATTTATAATTGAACCTGTGTGGGATTTGCTCACTTGCAAATATAATTAAGTTTGGTCATTTTCTATTAACATAAACTAGAAGTAGTTTATTACTTGCAGGGAGTGTGTATACTGGAGTTGTCTTCTGCAGAAGGTTATGCGGAGTGTCAATCATTAGAAGGTGCGTAGCTTAGCCATTTACTAGAGACTTCTATTTCTTGACAAACTGATGAACCCGGTTTTCTTATCAGTGGAGAAAGCATGGAGAATGCATTAAGAGCATGTTGTAAGGGAATCAAACTAGGTAAAATCCTTATTCATAGAGAGGGCAATACTGGTCGGCAGGTTCGTACAGGCAATTCCTTCCCTTGTTATCGAAAACATGTATAGCGATGTAGCTTGATAGCAAGTTTTCTTAACTTCAATTGCTATTATCATCAAATTTTGTATTTTATAATAAAATTCAAAGATAGAAGTTATATGTTATGTTGATTTGATATAGAACACGTCACCATAGTTGAATTAAATCCTCTATATTTCTCATTTGGCGGTGCAATTTGTTACAGTTGATATATGAGAAGCTACCTGCAGATATTGCTAGCCGTCACGTGCTATTGCTTGATCCAGTTCTAGCTTCAGGTTTGGGAACATGAACTCTTTTTCTTCTTTCTAAAAGATGCAATATCTCTACCAGGGATGTTAAGCTTATTGATCAAGATTGAAGATTTTTAATGTAATGGTTTATATATGTCTCATACTGATGAATTTTAATCACATATTGACTAAGTATGAGAATATATACTAACTTCATCATATGATTTTATATTAAAATTAAATGAGCTCTAACTCCATGGACAATAACTAGGAAACTCGGCGGTCAAAGCTATATCTTTGCTTATCAGTAAAGGAGTTCCCCAACAAAACATCATCTTTCTTAATCTTATTGCTGTGAGTTTTTTTCAGTTTCTTATCTCTTTTGCTTATAAAGAAGTGATCATTATGCGGTTACTGAAATTGACTTGTGATTGGATTCAGGCACCTCAAGGAATTCGTGCTGTCTGTAAAAAGTTTCCAAAGCTGAAAATCGTGACATCTGAGATTGACGCGTCGTTGAATGAGGACTTGTGTGTGATTCCAGGCATGGGAGAGTTTGCAGATAGGTACTTTGGCACAGATGAAGAAACTGTTTTGAGACCTCAGGACAGATTGCAGACTCAGAGATGAGATACAATACTTCCCCATTTCAATCTCGTTCCAAATTTTACAATTCAAACACACAATATGATTTGTTGGTGCTCAATGGAAGACCTTTCCGTTACCTGCTTATTTATTCTGGAATAATGCTGGCGAATGACTAGGGACTGGAAATTTCATTTAACATAGAAATATACTTGCTCGTGTGCCTCTTATCATAGAACAACCAATTAAAAAATATACATATAGGAAGTTGTAATTATTAAAATTAGATTGGACTAGTTAGCAGACTAATTGATCATGTTTAGCAAACTGGTCTGAATAACTTTCAAATCATTCTTCGAGTTAAATCTGTAAAAATTTGGATTGACCAACAAGTTATTAGTGATAGATTTATCTGTTATATATAAACTCATCTTGTTTTGTTCATTATCTTGGTGATCAAAACTTAGAAAGAGCTCGGGTTACTGATTCATTTCCACCAAGCTGAGTCTTTCTTAAAGAAACTTAATAGTAAGTAAGAACCCAAATGATATGAGAACCTGTGCAATAAAATAGAAAATAAGACTTTCATATTTGTCTTTATATAAAAAATTTGAACAAAGTCAATTCACAAGGAGAAACACCAAAATCAGAATATCTTATATATTCTATCCCTTTTTTCTACTCTGGAAATAACCTAGAATGAAGAAGACAATCGGGTGAAATGCTGGACCTATAAACTCTTTGATGTGAGCGGATTAACTTGTAGAATTCTTCTTACTCTTTTTCTTCCTCGAGGCAAAGCTACTGGGTCCAATTTCTATCGACATTCTCTTTGTCCTGCTTACCAAACAAGAGTTAAGAACTTATCTGGAGCCAGAATGTAGAAACTACGTGTAACTGAAGAAGCAGCGGCAACTTCATGAAGACTACAGAATCAAAATCAAAATTTAATGAAATATAGTACCTTGCAGAAAGCGCTTCTGACTCTAGGCTGCCATCTTCTTCAACTGGATTACCAAAAATACCATCAAAGTTAATGAGGATACAAAGAAGCTTAACTACATGCCTAGAGTAATTCAGAAGTAAATTATCAAGGCAAGACTGGAATAGAGAAATCCAAAATCTCATTGTTGTTTCCGAAAACATTTCAGTTCTTGGGCCAGTTTCATCGTAAACCAAGTAAAAGTAAATCCAGTTCAAACACAAAGTTAATCAAACTCAACTGCAAGGTAATTAAAGGTAATGAGGTAAGTTCCACTATGTCCACATTGTTTACTTGCAGAGATCAGGAACAAGAAAATACAGGACTCTATGACTGAAAGTTTGAAGGCTTGTCAAGCTATAATATAATCATCTTTCTATGTACAAGATCACTTGTCTCAAAATCTGCCAGCAATACGCTACATCGTGCAACATGAATGCTTAAATCCCCCGGACAAACAAAGCCCATTTCAACAAGGGACAAAAGGCATACCTGTTCCATTTTCATCGCCATCTTCCTGCCCTGACTTGGAATCAGAACCCCATCGATTATCTCCATTATCAAAGTCCCATCGATCTCCCAATGGAGGCATCCAAAATTCAGGTTCTTCTGAATCACTAGCTTTATCTCTTACTTCAGAAATGATTTCTTCAACCTTTTTTTCTTTCTTCTTTTTCTTCTTCAAGCTTTTTGGACTTGGATTTGGCTCTTTATGGGCCTTCTCTTTGCCTTCCTCAACCAATGTTCCACCTGCTTCTTTCTCCATTTCCTTTTGCTCTGTTCACAGTACTTCAAATATTAACACCACCAGAACTAACGCAGAAGATGCAAAGCACCCTTCAAGTCCACTTAAAACTATAAAATAATGTACAATTTCTCACACAGACCTAATTTGTTGAGGAACCGTCTTCCATTGATATGCTTCCAGATATGTTCTTCACTCTTGTTGACCGAGTCACCCGTTAGTTTACATATCACTTTTGAACTGATAATGTCAAAAAATGAAATGCAAAATTATGACAGATCCAGAAAACTAAGAACTTCTTGAGATTAAATTTCAAATTGCAAGCCATTCTGAGACCTCAAAAATTCATCAGGAATTATAACGTCTTATCACTGAGATTTCAATAACTATCTGAGTTAAGAAAATAACCCAAAAGAAATAAACTTTTAAGAGAATCTAATCATGGAGTACCATTAGAATTTAAAAATTGACTGTAAGCTAAAACCCTAAACCCTAATAAACCGGGAAACTTGAGGAGGAAAATAAAATTTGCAAAGGATGATACCGGGAGAGAGGGTCTTGCTTGAAGAGGTTGAGAGGAGGCTTGCTCTGAGAAAAAGCGTAGTCGATGAGTCCCAAACGACACCGTTTGCTCTGCGAATACGATTCCTTGTCTCTTCCAAGCAACTCATGGCCCGTCTCAACGCACTTAAACCTTCCGTTTTGGAGCTCGATGAATGTCGGTGAACCTAGAAGATTGCTCCCTTCTTTCTCTTTCTCTTCGTTCGTCGCCATTGCTGCACCTTGCCGCTGCTGCTAAAACCTGTTGGGGATTAAAGGAAGCACAATTTTCGTATTGATCCGATCGGCCTCTCGCAAGCCTAAACGATGTCGTTTCTAGATGACGAAGAAAATTGCAATGAAAACGCTGTCGTTTTTGTGCTGTTTAGCGTGCCTGAGCTTTTCTAAAACGGACCATTCTTTTTTTTTTTTTTAGTAAACCCCAATATATAAAGTAATGCAAATCATAATTTAAATTTAAATTTCTCATGAAAAATATTAAAAATTAGAATGTAATGTTTTTTTTTTTTCTATCTAAAAACACATTAATTTGGGTTTCTGTTCTGAGTACAGATTAAACAGAAACCACCTCAACATTTTAAATCCTTAATAGAATCTTGAAGATCAGGTAACCCACTCGGAAGAACAATATTCAGTTATTCATGTGCAGAACATGAGATATTTAAATTTTTAAACTAATATCATGAGATAATTTTTATCTAACAGGCAAGCTAGATGATGACTGTAAATACACAGGATACAAAGCCGTACATATATATTTATACGTGTGCATGCGTGCGGGTTATTGTTTTGTCTGAAAATGGAGACAAGTTTTCCTGAATTTAAGCTCCATGGTACATTTATACATACATATATATACAAGAAGAAGAAGAGATGAGAGATAATCCAGAACTTGTAATTTGGCGTATATATATATATATACACTATATGTTAAAATCAAAAGAATAGTGTATGTAAAAGTTAAACTATCTGCTCTGTTGGTTCTGTGTGTCCGGAGTGGGACAGGGTTGGAGGAAGAAGGATTCCGGACTTGTAAGTTCCCGGCGATTTATAACTTTGGAGATTCGAATTCCGACACTGGAGGAGGCTCTGCAGCATATTATGCAGCTGGGCCGCCCGGTGGGGAGACATTTTTACATGAGCCTGTTGGAAGAGCTTCTGATGGAAGGCTCATTATCCGACTTCATAGGTAACAACTATTCTATGTAAATCTTCTTTTTATTTTTGTAGAAGAATAAGATCGGTTAGTTATATTTAATTTATAAGTTTGATCTTACTTATAATTCGTATAAAAATTAATTTATTTTTAATGTATTGTAAATAATTTTTGAATTTTAATAGTGGAGAGTTTCGGCTTATCATACTTGAATGGATTCTTGAATTCAATCGAAACGAGTTTTAGACTGAGGTACTAATTTCGCCGTTGGAAGATCAACAATTAGGCCGCAGAATGAATCTTGGTTTCTGAATGGCGTAAGTCCATTCTCACTTGACATCCAGGCTGTGCAATTTAAACAATTCAAAGAACGCACGATCAAATTCTACAAACGAGGTGCTGATAATCCCGAATCCTCATTTTCGATTTCTACGATTAATTTCTAGTCTCCACAAAATGTTCTTTACTATTAGCTAGCTTATTGCTTATTACTTATTGATGGATCGTGTTCTGCACGTTGCATGCGTGGATAGACACCATCTGTCTTGACCCGAGGACTTTTCGAAGACCCTTTATAAGTTCGACATTGCTGCTGGTTTTCAAACAACGAGCAACAAAGACATTCTTGAAGTAATTCCGGACATAGTTAATCAGTTAGCTACAGCGGTTAGGGTACGTTTTTTAATTAATTTCTTTACTTTTATTCGATAAAACAATAAATTTCAAATTTTTATGTTGTCACTTATTAAGATGACCGATAAAATATTACAAATATGATTAATATTATTTAATTTAAAATGCATTAATTACAATAATTATATTATTTAATTCATTTATATTTTTAAAACGTGTAATAATATTTCTAATTTCCGTATATTTGACATTAAATTGCAGATTTTGTAGGAGAAAAATGCAAGAACATTTTGGATACTCATAGAAATTAATTGTTGTTTTGCAGATTTAACACATAATGTTTTTTTTTTTTTGTTTTTTTTCATTTTAATTCACTTCACAATGTTTTTTTATACAACAATTTGAATTGTGACTTTGCATTTTTTTTTGTTCATCTTACTTATTTATAAAGAGTTGATTATAATGTTATATTGATGATGCTTCTGTACTATTTAATTATTAAAATATATAAATTTTTATTCAAATATATATATATATATATATGTGTGTGTGTGTGTGTATAACCCATCAAAACCAGACAAGAGAATCCCACGGCATTCTTGATTTGATAGCATTTTGCAAGTACCATAATACATAAATTTTCTGTGGACTAAAATTTATTCAACTTTTAATTTTCTTTTTCTTAAACAAAAGTAATATGAATCTTGTACGTATTATTTAATTGAAGAACATTTATTTTATTAATGATATAAACAGTTTCTATATATATATATACACGTATTTATCCCCACACACCAAATGTGCAGAATAATAATTAATAAATTACAAAATACGGCGTATTAATGTATAATAATAATAATTATTTTATTTGAATTGATAGTTTGATATGATTATATATTAAATTTAATTATTTATATTTTAAAGTATTTAATATTAAAGAAAAAAAATACTTACTTAAAATGTATTTAAATTATTTAAACTGTAATCTTTATTAAATTTTTTAAAAAATAAATTTAGTAATTTTATAATTAGTATAAAAAATGGATTGAGCTGTCAAGAAAGATTTTTTCGTTAATAAAATAATAATTATAAAAATTTAATAAGAATATAAATGAAATAAAAAATATTACTCTATCAAAAACTACTAAATTTAAAAAAATTCTCAAATTTAATCTCTAAAATACTATTAAAAACTCTAAAATAATCATATTATTATTAGCAAATAAACGTAATTTTCTCCTTCTACTGTTATACCCTAACTATATTTTCCCAACATCCAAACAGAGGAGGGTACTGTTTTTTTAAAGTGTGTGTGACAGCGCATGTGCAAATCCCCACATATCCAAATCTTTTGTCACCATATTCAAAGAGAAACTCACTTTTACCCTTGAATCTTTCTACATATATATACATGTACACACAAAGAGTAAGCTCCATATTGAACAAGATAATCTTAAAAATGCTTATTTCACGGAGATCATCAGCTTTTTTGGTGGGTTGGGTTCTATTTTTCTGGGTGATTAGCGCAAGATCTGCTGCTTTACCGCCATGTCAATTTGCTGCAATTTACAATTTTGGTGACTCAAATTCAGACACCGGAGGTATATCAGCTGCTTTTGAACCAATTAGAGCTCCTTATGGAGAAGCTTTCTTCCATAAACCTGCTGGGAGAGACTCTGATGGCCGCCTCATTATTGATTTCATAGGTACCCAGAATGTACTTCCTTCTTCTTTCTTCTCACTTTCTCTGTATATTATATATATATATATATATCTATGTATTTCAGAACTCTGCAGGTAACTATCAGAGTTACTAATCTGGTCTTTATCATTTTTATTATTTGTAACCGTTGTTTTTTATACTATACTGGTTGGTTCGGGAACAAATAATAAATAAAATAGTATCCAAAAATGGTTAATGTGAATGGTTATTCTAGAAAAACCCTATATGTGTTTATGCTATGTATGTGTTTATGGGTATGTACATATTTGCTATTTTGCTTGGACTTGAGTGTGATGCAGTGTTGGAAATGATTATGGATCTAATTGTTTAACCTAAAAAGATGGGAAACTGATGAGTAAGATTTAGGCATAATCTTTTAGTTTTGGCATGAATGAACTGACTTTCAATAGACTGAAAATTCGTGTGTGTGTGTATGTGTGTGTTATGCAGTCCAAATTTGGAGAAATCTATATATCCAAAATTCATTCTTGTCAAGAAAACTGTAGTGGGTTTAATTCGAAAATTGTTTTCTGGGTATGCAGCTGAGCAACTTGGACTGCCATATTTGAGTGCATACCTGAATTCTCTAGGAGTAAATTTCAGGCATGGAGCAAACTTTGCTACAGGAGGATCAACAATCAGGAGACAGAATGAGACCATTTTTGAGTACGGAATAAGCCCATTTTCTCTCGATATGCAGATTGTTCAATTCAATCAATTCAAAGCTAGGACTGCTGAGATTTACAGAGATGGTTAGTATCATATAAGAGTATTTTTAGTTCAGATTTCTTTGACATATCTATGTCGAGGGTATTTTTTGGGCCTGATAGCAACCGGAAAACTTGGGA